GCAATAAAAATTGTTCTGGGCATGCACAGAAGCCAAAAACAAGATGGTGGCGCCTATGGCAGTGCCTGAAGAACCAGTTGAGGGAGTGGCAGGACTGGGGCGCTGCCAGTTCCAGCTACCCAGGTCACAAACCACTACTGGTTTAGCCAAACCAATCCAAACCGGTAGGAACCCACCACTGGTACTGAGATAAAAACCTAAGTAGAGATTTTTTCCAGTCTGTAGGTTAACTGAAAACAGACATTGACAACTTTCAGGTTCTAGATTTTATTGGTCTGATGTTTGAGTGGACGAGTTTATATTTCATTTTATGAGTACTATTCAAAAGCATATGAAATTTTTATTGACTCATGTGAACTCCTTGAAGAAGAAAATAGGATATCAATAAAATGAATAATAAATGTAAATGCAACCGTCTTTGCATGCCCTTCTTTTCTTTTTTAACCTCTGCCTGTTTTCTTTTTTAGCTTTGCTATATATTGTTGTGATGCAATTGTTTAAAAAGAAGAGAGAAACTGTTTTATTGCCAGAGACAATAATATTGATGCTTTTTTTTTGTAGTTCCAGTCTGAATCCTGTCCTGCAGTGGGAATGTCTCGCTCTGGAACATCACAAGAGGAGCTGCGCATAGTAGAAGGACAGGGACAAATTACTGATATAGGGCCATCAGCAGACGAAGTCAACAACAACACTTGTGCAGGTTAAAAAGCCTTCCTGTTTTGCGCTGGGGAGGAAACTTGTACACAGCAATAAAATCACATTGGGCCTCCTTGTAAGGAAAATGTAAAATGCTACATTGTCAGATATATTTGTATGGTGCTGATGCAGTCAAAGGACTAGGCTGAGAAATGAAATACATACAGTTTACATACTGCACAAAATGTTCAGTATTTAAACATGTAACCTAATGAAAATGAATTAAATGGGAATGCAGCTAAATTAAGATGGGCAAAGTTTAAGCTTCCACAAAAGAGGTAATTTCCTATGTCTAGAATACTGCAAAAGTGCTTTACATGAGACTGTCCATGTAGACCAATGGTTCTCAACCGTTCCAATGCTGCGACCCTTTAACACAGTTCCTCATGTTGTGGTGACCCCCAATCATAAAATTGGTGTCTCGGTTCCTAAGACCATCGAAAATATGTGTTTTCTGATGGTCTTAGGCGACCCCTGTGAATGGGTCGTTCGACCCCCAAAGGGGTCCCAACCCACAGGTTGAGAACCACTGATGTAGACTGATCAGAACCTTCAGCCACAGTTAGTTGCTTTCTGATGTGTGATTTATAGACCATATTATCAGCTGTACTGTGTCATTTTCAGGATTTCTGGTAAATAGCAA